GGGGTCTAGAGTTTAGGGTTTAGGCTGTAGGGTTTAGGGTGTAGAGTTTAGGGCTTAGGGTGTAGGGTTGGGGTTTAGAGTGCAAGGTTCAGGGTGGAAGGCTTAACACCTTATGTAGAGGCGCTCATAATTAGAATAGGGCTCTGGGGTATACTCTACTATAACAAAAACATATGGAGCGCAAAAGAGTATTGGCAATTATTTAGGCTCCTGCATTAGTGGCATGGGGCTTTGAAGGCTTAGGGATTTAGGGTATGGGGTTAGCCTTGCCGACATTGCTTTCAGTGTCTTCATATCTATTTAGTAATCTGCGCTTTTGATTATCCTGTGCTTCTTCGTTGATTTTGGATACATGAGGTGTGAGCCGGAAATATCGAGAGCGTCGCGCTGAGCTGAGATGATGGACTAGATGCTTGCTACCAGCACCGGCAATGTCCATATCCTAAGTGTCATCAACATCACAGGAGAGCACGTGATCTGCCAAACAGTATGCCGACATGTGACATGAATGTTGCTACTTTCTGCATTTGCTGATCTTCATCGTGTCCGCTGTCCCGGAACATTGTCTGCTTACTCGCTGCTGTTCAACATCCTATTCTTCGTCTGTCCTCGCGTTTGTCTGGTAGTCGTTTTACTCCGAACTGCCTGGCACAACGGGGAGTTTCAAAAAATACAGACCCCAATGTAGAGCCCTGCCCTTTTCTTCGAAATCACCATGTGCCATAGATTGGCTTTTGCTGTCATTGGCCGTTCCTGCTTGTCTTGGTGCTTGCTAGTCTCGTCGGCCAATTCCTGCCGGCTTCTCTTATGGTTTAGCGCTGGGGGCGTAGATCTGCATAGCCGTAAACAACCGCCTAAAACCCCTGAACCCTAGGACCTAAACCCTAAACCCTGCAACGCTAGGTCCTAGGATCTAAACCCCGAATGTGCTACAGCCGTACTAACCTTATACAAACCCCCATAGTAACCCTCATAGATCCCTTTAAGGAACCCTAGCAGGGACCCTAATTTAAGACCATCACTAAGCCCTGAACTCTAAACCCTGAACCCTAAACTCAAAAATTGCTATCGCTCTTTCGTGGGTCTGGACAAGCTCTGGCCCTGACTGCGAGCTCCAAGTGCTTGTCCGAAGCAGCTAGACCCCAAACTTGGCTCTTGCTAAGGAACTCGATACGGTTTAGGGTTTAGGGTTTGGCTTTTGCTAAGGAACTCGATTTGAAGTTACCACAGTTGGAATCTAGAGCAAATACTAGGGCTTTCTTGATGGCAACATAAACTAGAACCCCCCGAAACTTTAAACCCCAAACCCTGAAGCAAGTTCTTCAGCAAGAGCCCAGTAAACCCAGAAGGGTCTTCCAAAGAAGGCCCCTGATCTAGGAAGATTCCTCTAGCGGACCGGACCAAGGAGAAGGATGTGGGTAGTTGTTTAAGCTAGTGTCCCTTCTGGAGTTCCTTAAAGGGATCTAGAATCTATAAGGGTTTCTATTTCGGAGACAATGTTGCCACATCAGTAGCACACAAACACCACGGAGTTTAGGGCTTGGGGCCTCCCAAACATTTCATGCCTTGGCATTCGCAGCTCGGCTTTTTGGCTCTTGCCGCAACAGCTTCACGGCTCGAGCAAAACCCTGCAGCCCAAACCCTATACGACGATGCTTAAACTGGCACCATTAGGCAGCCCGTAGTGCTCGTGCATCATCGCACTGAGCTCCCTGTGCCCCACCATGGCAACGTTGCTGCTCAGCGCCGCGGCCATGGCCTCCACATCCGCAAATGATACATCGTGGATCTTGTACAAGAAGACGGTGCTTCCTGGAAGCAAGCTGTTGAGATGCTTGGCAATGTCCTCTGGGCGGTCCTGAGTAAACCACCGCTTCGTTTCAGTAAATGTTACGATGTCTTTGGCTACCACCGGAGGAAAAGCTGGCTGTACCGGAGAGAAGACGGCCCGGATCGTCGTGTGTGCGTACGCAGCCACCGTCCTTTCCATGGCAGGCTCCTGGTTATAGCTGTCCCAATGGACATAGGCGCACATGTCGAGCTTCTCTGCGGCTTCCACCGTCAGGTTCCTCAGGATCGCTTGCTTGGTGTTGGAGGATGGGTGAAGGAAGCCATAGCCACTGGGCCCCATCAAAAAGCTGTCGGCGTCCCTGGTGCGGTTTGCCGCAGCGAAGAACCATCGGAGCACTGTGGGCGCAAACTCCATGAGGCGGTTTGAAATCGTCCAGCCCACCGGAGGGCCTGAATAAATCGGACAAGGCTTTGGGGGGTAACTATAACAGGGACTAAAAGGAGATACCGGAACTATGTTAGGAACTATGAGGGGAAACCCTAAACCCAAAACCAAACAACTTTAAACCTTAAACCCTAAACCAATAACCAAAAAAAACCCTAAACCCTAAACCCAAAAGAAACCCTAAAGCCTAAACCAAAAAAACCCTAAACCCCAAACACCCCACGCCACCAAAGGGCACAAAGCCCTCGGAGCGGCGGAGCTCCCCAAGTCCCGGTCTCTCGCACAGAGTGCCAGGCGCTCCTCCATGCGAGGCCTCAGGGGTTCTAGCCTTTTGGGGGTTACCTTAGGGTTTATAGGGGTTTATAGGGTTCTTATAGGGTTTTATAGGTTTCTAGCCTTTTGGGGGTTGTCGGATTTAGGGCGCTAGGACTCTGGGGTGTAGGATGTAGGGCTAGACGGGTTTAGGGCTTAGGATTTAGGGTTTAGGGTGTAGGGCTTAGGGTTCTAGCCAATTGGGGTTACGAAACTGCTCCGACACCGGTTTGGGGTTTAGGGTTTAGGGGTTTAGGGGTTTATTAGGGTTTAGAGTTTAGAGTTTTGGGGTTCTCTTAATTAAGGAATAGACCTTAAATCTTATTAGGGTTCCGATTAGAATTTAAGATATATTCCTTAATGAAAGGGATGTTGGAGTCTCCGGGTTCTCGGATTTAGGGCTCTCGGACTCTAGAGTGTAGGATGCAGGGTTTAGTAGGGTTTACGGCTTAGGAGCTAGGGTGTAGGGTTTAGGATTTAGGATTTAGGCTTTAGGGTTTAGGTTAGAACTCGGTGATCTACATGGGTTCTGTAGGGATCTACAAAGGCTCTATAAGGGCTCTACAAGGGCTCTATACAGGATCGAGGGAGGCTCTGCAACGGATCTTGTCGGGTGTTGAGTTTCGGGATGCATCCTTTGAGATTCTCAGAATTTACTTGGAGGATCATGGGACTTAGGTTATAAGTACCTTAATGAAATAAGCCGAGTTACTACGTCCCATGACCCATGATCCTTTAAGTCTAAGTAAGACTGCGCATCAGGACTCCTGTCGTGGGCCTCAGGGAGTTGTAGTCCAGCTGCATATTGTCCCCGTCCGAAGACAGGAGAGCCACGTAGATCTTGGAGGGGTCGTACTTCGGTACGGGGAGCAGAGGAACCTGCTTCAACGACACCACCGGCGGAAGGAGCGAGAAGAATGCCAAGTTCGGAGCGAAGTCTGAAACGAGGGAGATCTCAGAGTGACTGGAGGTGCAGTCTGCCACCACCTCGGAGCCTGCGAAGTATCCCATGATGGACAGCTCCCTCCCGGCTTCCGATAGAAACTCCGTCACCTGCCTGAAAAGCAGGTTCCCCTGCGTGCCATTGGTACACAGGTCATCGAGCCACATTACGAAGAGCTTGTCCTTCACAGCCAAGTCCTGGGTTGCAGTTTAGGAGCCCCCAAAACTAATTTTGAAAAATTGGGTACCTGTGCAGGGCCATAGGGGCAATTCCCTAGGCTCTTTAAAGCTTATAAGAACGCTTAACCCTAAAAGGCCACCCAGAATCGACCAAGAACCCTTCCGCGAGTAGCTGCGGAGTCTGCACGACAATGCGCGACATCGTCACGTTCTTCAAGACACCTTCCTTGGGGGCAAGCTTTAGAGGTTTAGGGTTTCGGGGATGAGGGTTTAAGTTTGGGTTTAGGGTTTATGGTTTATGGTTTAGGGGTTTAGGG